TAAATTTGAGGGTAGGTTGGTAGACTTCTTGATGAGTAATCAAATCGAATCAGGTGTTACGACAGCGGAAGTCACGTGACGCTAGTAACACGTCATGAACTTCTAGAAGACTCCCGTCCCTTCCTGAAGTCTCGAGAGGGTACTAGATATGCGGTAGTCTTGTATATATAAGCCGCCAAGAAGCGACGGCAACAAGGTAATGTGTAATTGACAGTTGAGTCAAGCACGTGAGACGTTCGTTGTGAATTATGGCGTTTTTTATAGCGCGACTGTGGAAATTAAGTGCATTGCAAAGTTGTATTCAGAAAGAATAAACCAGTTTTATTTAAGAAAGGACGTGTATCGGTAAAGTTTCATCGGAAAGAAATTTACGGAAAATTAACTAACGACCAGAAACGTAACACAGGTATACACGCGCCCAACGCTTGGTATTGCCGGCGCACAAAAATTTAGGTAATGAAAAGGAAACAAACAATTTAAATTTTATAAAGAAAAGTAGGGATCGATATATACGTAACCTAGCTAGCTATAGTGATATAGAAAGTTTAATACTACAAAACGCATTGAAACAAGAAAGTCAAAACTATATATCGATCCCTACTTGTCTTTATAAAATTGAAATTTTTTATTATACCTGCATGAAATAAATACAGCTCCAGACACCAATTCTTCAAAAACGTATTTTCTCTTTAGTTAAACATAATAATTAAAGCCATAATATTTTTAACGAGTCGGCAAGTGTTAGTTAAAAAAGTTGTAACATATGTTTTTCACTGAGGTTTGCCTAAAATCCGGATTATTCTTCGTATTTTTCAGTCTGCATTTTTGCTGCAACAGTTATACTCATTTCCTATGTATCTACTAGATGGCAATAGTTATGATACAATGTAACTGACATATTGTTTTGTTGATAAGCGTAAAGCTGCATGATGTAGTATTTGTGTTGTGTCCACCACGAGTATCTAAAACAGGTTTTTAGAGGTGTAAGCCCTCAAACTTACTGCTGAGCCACTAGAGGGCGTAACTAAAGTATCTGAATTGATCCTTTTCTAGTTTTTAATCCTATAAGCTTAAAATTATCAAAGTTATCAGAGGTATAGGAGACACAAAATGGTGGAGGCCCAAGGTTTATTTGAACGAGCGAAGCGAGGGAATGTGCGCCATAAGTGCACTCATTTGGTCGGGGTCCAGGACTCGCCTTAGGGCCCTGGAAGCTTTTGGGCTCCGAAATATACTTTGTCCATTCTCCTAGTTTTCCTAAGAGTAATTTTTCTAATTTTGATGCTATTTTTATTGAGTCAAATTGAAAAGTGGGGGTGGAGCAGGACCCTCGCTTCCTACGCCACTATTTGAGACTTTAGTTTAGGAAAAAAGAAAACTTTATTACCACACAAAGGAAATTAACTAAATATTATTTATATTTAGAAAGATTTTAACTATTCAGTCTAATGATACAGAATCTTAAGCTCTAGATTTTGGTTCCATCATCTAAAGTGTTTGTAATTAAGGGAGGCAAAAGACAACTTCTGAAGAAATGTGTAAACGATTTAATCAAGTTGAATTACGTTATGGATTCACTATGATAACCTCGGGCACACGATAGAGACTGTCCAATCGAACCTCTAGTTAGTTAGTTGACTTCTGGCTTTTTTGTTTGTTTGTTTTGAATTTCGTGCAAAACTACAAAAGGGATATCTGCGTTAGCCGTCCCTAATTTAGCAGTGTAAGACTAGAGGGAAGGCAGCTAGTCATCACAACCCACCGCCAACTCGTGGGCTACTCTTTTAGCAACAAATAGTGGGATTGCCCGTTACATTATAACGCCCCCACGGCTGAAGGGGCGAGCATGTTCGGTGTGACGGGGATGCGAACCCGCAGATTGCGAGTCGAGCGCCCTAACCACCTGGTCATGCCAGACCGGCTAATTTTTAAATATTTTTATAAAGAAGGAATATGTTAAAGTTATGACGTGAGGAACTGATCTGGATAACAGTTTAACTACATGTACGTGTACTTTCACCAAGCTTCTACAGTTTGTGTGAACGCCTTTCACAAGCTTGACCAATCCAAAATTACTTCCTCTATCTCTGTATCACGACTAACAGTGCACCTGAAGAAGTGTCTTACACACCTATCAACAGCATGTTACTGTTGGTAAACGAAATCTGAAATTGGAATGCCTAATTCTTGATAAAACTTGGAAAACCATTAACTAAATTACATTGGCGATACTCCAAAATCGTTTTATATTTCTTTTGATAAGTAAAAGCCCAGCTTAAAATAAAAATAAAAAAGCACACACACACACACACACAAAGAAATTCTATTATTATACATTCTTCTAAATCTTGAAAATCCTTAAGAAACTAGATAAAGAATGTAATGTTTAAAAATATAGGCCTAATACTAATGTCTTATGATAAATACAATTGATTACAATAATACTTCATTGGCAACTCAGAATAGTGTGCAAAGCATGTCAGAGCTAGAGAGGTTAGATATTTTTTCCGTTCAGTGCTTCCGCGTAAAAATCAAACTTAAGCTAGTTTGGAATCTATTTCCTGGGAGTTTATTTTAGTTGCGTGCTTAAACATCATGTTCGTCTGAACCATTTTTTTTTCTCCCTTCTCATTTTAGAGATGATATTCATACACTACGCCCTTCTCGGGCCATTAGTTACTTCCTTTGTCCTCATTGTGGATAGGACTAGGTTAGATTAAGCCTACTAACACGTATATGTAGATGTTTAAAGCATCTAAAGCCCAATGTAGTGAACGAGTCTCGTATTTACCAAAACATTTTCTTAGAATACAAGGATGGATACAGAGCGGGAGGATCCAGAAGGATCAGGATCCCTTTCTTCAAAAGCAAGAATACAGAAAGACAGGTATAGAAACTGTTACTCAGTTTGTGAAGTTCTCAAATAAGCAGTAATTACTTTATGCCATAATTGAAAATTGGAAAGGAACATCCCTTATTAATACTATTATTTTAAAAACAATAATTATCATATATTTTTATTAAATAGCATGTTGACAATTACGTGTATCGGACGGGCCGTAGTTCCGAAAATTGAACGTAAAAGTTTGATTGTTTGTTTGAATTTCGCGCAAAGCTACACGAGGGCTATCTGCGCTAGCCGTCCCTAATTTAGCAGTGAAAGACTAGAGGGAAAGCAGCTAGTCATCACCAACCGCCGCCAACTCTTGGGCTACTCTTTTACCAACGAATAGTGTGATTGACCATCACATTATAACGCTCCTACGGTTGAAAGGGCGAACATGTTTGGTGGGACAGAGATTCGAACCAGAGCTTTGCAGGGCCAAAAACTGGATTATAATAAGCTGGATCTAGATGGTTACTTCTTGTCTGCCTAATCGAACCAACCTTACTCAGTGCACTTGCCTTGCGTTAGACACTAATGAGGCCTAGCTCTGAACGTAAAAGCAATTACACACGTAGGCCTAATATTCATTCAGGTTATTATATAAACAGTAGTATGTGTATAATATTGTTACGACAGCGGAGGTCACGTGACGCTAGTAACACGTCATGCACTTCTCAAACGTTCACGTCCCTCCCTGATGCTCGAGAGCCTACTAGATATGCAGTAGTCTTGTATATATAAGACGGTCAAGACGTGACAGCATTAATGTAATATGTAATTGACAGTTGAGTCGAGCACGTGAGGCGTTCTTTGTGAATTATAGCGTTTGTTATAGCGCGACTGTGGAAATTAAGTGTATCGGAAAGTTGTATTCAGAAAGAATAAACCTGTTTTATCTAAGAAAGGACTTGTATCGGTAAAGTTTCTTCGGAAAGAATTGTTACGGAAAATTAACTAACGAACTGAGGCGAAACAATATTCTATTAGGGACATAAGCCAATAACATTTTTGAGGTATGTTTGTAATCGTTCCAGAGACCTATATTATTGTTACTGTTGTGTTTCTGCTTGTTTGTTAATTTCCAGTATAAATTCATTCCGAGGAACTTCAGCGATACAAGTCCTTTCTTAATTAAAACTAGTTTATTCTTTCTCGATACAACTTTGTAATGCACAGAATTTCCACAGTCACTTTAAACGTAACAACCTTTATAACACACGCTATAAATCACAATGATTCACACACTTTACTTACGGTGCTTACTGTTCGCTTGACTCAATTATCTATCTATTCAATCTATCTCTTCGATCTATCTATATCTCTTTAAATCGCTCTGGTTTTTCTCGCCAGGCTTATATACTAAAAAAGAGGGCGCCTCGAACAAACTAGACTTGCTCAGAAAATTCATGATCCTTTGAGAAACTCCAGCGCGCATGCTCCTAGTGTCGCGTGACTTCCGCTGTGGTAACATTACCCTTAATTTAAGCTTTCTAATGTGCTGCAAAATTTTCATAATAATAATCAACACTATTATTCTGCTTCTTTGTATGTACGACCGTTACGCTTTCTGACCGAGAACCTTCTGCGTAAGCACGCGTAGTTAGAATGGTTCCCCAAGAGAAACCGCGCGTGCGCATTATTCACTCGACGACTAACAGTCTGCCTGCGGCAGAGAGCTGCAAAGCTCAGTGATCAAGTCGCTACAATTGCTGTATGAAATAAGAAGTAACAACAAAAGGGGAATGTAAATATACTTTACGAACCATTCTGTACAACAGAATATTAAAAACTTATCAAAGGTTTTTAAAAAAAGGTTTGACGTTAGGTCGTTTGTTTGTAATTAAGCACAAAAGCTACACAATGGGCTATCTGTGCTCTGCCCACCACGGGTATCGAAACCCAGATTCTAGCGTTGTAAGTCCGCAGACATACCGCTGTGCCACTGGGGGGCTCGTTAGGTCGTAGAATAGCATTTTAAGTTTATTTTTCGAAAGCATTAAGTACAGTAAAGTTTAGTCCTAACTAAACTGAAGTAAAAAAAAAACGTACACTGG